CCCGGGCTTAAGCCCAGTAAGCCACCCCCACGCTCCGCCCCTGCCCTAAAGACAGGCTGGAGAGTTCCCAGGAGAAGGGATGCTTCTTCTGTCCAGAAGGCGAATCTCTGTCCAAGCCGTAAAAAAAGCAATGCCAGTCAGAATGGACTCTCGTTGTGTACTGCTGCTCTCTTCTGTGTGTTCAGTCACAGGGTTTATAAGTGACTACATTAAGCCACTTTCACAAACATTTGCTTGACCTGATGTGTTGCCGGAGCCAAAACTGCAATTAATACTAACTTTGAAAACTGTGATTGTGATGGTGCCAGTTTGTCTATAATACTAGCCATACCCCTCAATGCAGAATCTCTCCATCAGCTGAATACACCACCACAGGCAAATTGCTGGCATGTCCTCTGTGAACGATAGTGGAGGTGAGGTGCTGATGCAGAGAGCATACTGTAAAGTAAAAGAAACCTTTAACATGTTTAAATGTTATATTGAAGTAATGGCAGGAAAAGAAAAATTCTCACCATCAGCATAAAGATGCCGCAGCAATTTCCATTGAACTGCTGAGGAAAGAACTGTAAAAAGAAAAATGTGTCCTTAAATGAAGAGAGCTGACATGCACCTGCTAGTTTTTTAATTACATTATTTTGTACCTGATGAGCTTTCAAACTTTCGCATTAAAAACATACCTCAAGGTCTCTTCTTGTTTTCTCCATCCAGGATCCAGAGTCAATAGAGGCTGCTACTCTCATTGTAGAGAATACACATAACACTCAAATCAAATGTTTGCCATTAATAAAAAAATTCATGAAGTAGGGATGCAACAATACGTTTTTCAGACCGTCAGATCCTTGGATCTGAGTTTTTGCCGATACCAAATACCAATGCTGATACTTCTACCACACAGAAAATGTAGTGAATCGGAAGGCAGGTTTTTTGTGTGTTTTTTACAAATAATAACGGTGAATAAGATTTTTTTTTTATGTATATTAATAGAAATGACCCAAAAATTCTAAATTTGGATGAAAAATAAACATTTTCTGTGAAACTTTTACCGATTTTCACATTTCAAGTATCTGTTCATGGTATTGGTTAACAAAAGATATGGATACGATTTCTTTTGAAGCGTATGGGCCTGGATACCAGTATCGGTGCATCCCTATCATGAAGTAGCCTAAGAACGAGGTTCCCTCCTGAACTTTTAAGCCTGAAACCGAGGCTGCTTTTAGACGACCTAGCCAAAGAACACACTTGGCCATTGAACAAGGCCAGAACAATTTTTCATTTCTTTAGTGTCAACCTAAATATGGCTCGGTAGAGATTATCTCCAAAACCATCAGGGCGAAGTGAGTCCAGAAAGAGTATCTGTCTCTCAGCTACCAATATAGCCTGAAATAGACATGTTAGCATCCATTATCAGATGAAAAAACAGCGCGAGAAAGAGAAAGGGCACTCACACAGAGCAGATAATGGTCAGCTTCACCTGCCTGCCTGCTCCAAGCTGGAAAAAGCAGGATATCCTTGGACCTAAAGTTTTCCTACAGGTATTGGTACAAATTAGTAAAAATGCACACACAGGAGAAAAATGAACAAAAAACATACCGGCAAGCAACGCAGCAGGTTGACTTGTGGATCCTTCCAGGTGGCCCTGACGTAGAGGTCAGCAATGTGAACATCTTTTCCCTAAAGGAAACACACACACACACAAAAACCCAAAATCAATACACAACAACCATTCATGGCTATAACCAAAGAAAAAAGTTACCAGTACAACAGATTACATGTCTTTGTGCAGCTTCGCCCACAATCTTCAGACAAGCATTCCCAATCTGAAAGAAACAGCAAAAAGCAACAGAATACGGTTTCAGTTACTATTTTCTTTGCAGTGCATTAGCTAAAGTAACAAGATATACTTACAGTAGATTCCATGGATTGTTCCAAACCCAGGCTCCAAAAGTCTTCCCGAGTCAGGCAGATATTGTCTTCCTTCACTAGGAGTTCTCCTCGAGGTCGGTTTTGGTCCAAAACATATTCGAGCTAAATGAGAAGAGCATTTCATGTGATTTTGCTTCAATATAATATAGAAAATAATAAAGAAAAAGAATGAAAGGGAAAATACTAAATAAGGCTGCAATTACTCTCATGCTTCAGCAATTCTAAAACCATCAACGACTTTGACTTATTAAGGTTTAACGTGACTGCACAGAAATGCGCCTTACCAGACTGGACTGAAGAGGGTCCAAGTCTTTCTGCCACTTTGCTCCTGGACATACTGATGATCAATCTGCCATTCAGGAGTCCCATATGAGTGGTCCAGGAGAAACTTCCTCTCAGTTGGTGGATCTGATGATATGCAAATATTAGGGGTGCAACGATACTCGTATCGATATTGAACCGTTCGATACAGTGCTTTCGGTTCGGTACACATATGTATCGAACAATACAACATTTTTAATTTATTTTATCAACTTTCCTTCTGACGATGCTGTCTGTGTTGAGCGCTCAGTGGATCTGCGTTCGACATCACGCCTAGGCGATAGTCGAGGCAGATTCACTGGCAGGGCAACCGAATCTGTGGCTCCAGAGCTGCAGTGACATGAGCAAACTTGGCCTAAATACATCATATCATATCATATCATATCAAGGCATGAATAACACTTTCACAAGTTTTACCTGGTTCACAAACTCCTTTCCTTGGTCAGTGATGATTTTCTTGACCATGCCAAACATGTATAACTTCGAGGTCATGATTGCAGAGACCTCAGCTGCAGTCTTGGACTTAAGAGGTTCTGCAATCACCCACTTAGTATACAGATCGTTCATTGTCAGGACATATTGGTTCCCTAGACGTGTTTCCGGGAGTGGTCCAGTTAAATCCATGCCCAGCACCTCCCAAGGTTCTTTTACTTGCAGGTCACAGAACTTATCAAATTAAAATTTAAAGCTACCCTGCAGCACAAAAGCTTATTAGCATGAAAATGAAATTGTTGAACAGACCTTAAGATGTACCTTGATGGGATGTAATGCTGGTGCCACAGTCTTGATTGGGTCATTCACCTGGCAGCGATGACAGCATCTGACCTGAAAGATGTATCCCAAAAAATATTTCAAGGATACCGAAAAACCAGTTGATGTAAATTGATAACAATTTAAAAAAAAAAAAACAGACACAGAGAAACTAATGTTGAAATGTAAGTGTGCAAGTAAAGACAAGGTTCTTTATCTTGTTAACTGAAATAAGGCCATACCCATTCACTGATGTCCTGGTTCAATGTTGGCCAGTAATAGCCAGCAACAACCCTGTTTCAGGTACATCTGACACCGTTGTGGTTCCCGGTACCAGGGTTATTGTGCTTTCCATCAAAACGGACTTTCTGTCCTCCTCTGACATGACTACCAGGCGCATGCACTGCATACTGGGGCCAGTGTAGAAGAGTCTGTTGTCTGATACAAGATGAAAATGTAAAAAGCTGAAAGAGTTGCTGACTAAAGGAAAATAAAATGTCTGACAGATATTAATAAAATTTGGGATAATGTATCTGCACCAGTATGGTACATTTACCTTCAATTGAAATTAATTTTTAAAACTATATACAGGGTATATATGACAGAGTCGTATTTTTTTGTTATATCTATATATATAGATAGAGAGAGAGAGAGAGAAAAGGGTTTTAAAAAATAAAAGTAAAAAATTTAATAAATAAAAAATAAAAGTAAAAAAATTAATAAATAAATAAAAGATCAACATTAATTTTCGTAGTTACCCTTCAGTTTGTAATTAGGTGCCATTCTTTTACGGCGCAGTTCTTCAGTCGGGGGAAGCTCTCCATCGAGGAGAAAAGCATGAATCTGCTTGTATACATCCATTGTTTAAATGTCCCGGCAGTCGAAAAGGAGGCAGAGCTGTCGACAAATGCTAGAAGCTAACTGGGCGCTAACCGTATCATTCAAATACATTAAATGTCGCAATGTTGGCAAAGAGAGGAAGTGACGCAAGATTTGCGCATGTGGGGTACCGATCGGGTTTCCGGTACGGATCGGGTAGCGACACCGCTTTTCCCCTTCTCATTCTCTGTTGCCGCCATGCTTTTTCGGCCATGTGCGTATGAAAACAAAGGCACTGCGCATGCGCGTTTCACCCATATTATATCGCCATATTTCATTTTCTTATCGTTGCCTAACATTGTACCGGTATTACCGTGAACGGTATGATATGGCCCAGCCCTATTCTGAATACATGATTGTTCAGTATAAACTGGGGGTTGGGGACAAATATGTCACCATATTTTTAAGGAAATTTGTGGTAATAATATTTATGACGCTGTAGAAAAAACAACAATATTTTATCTGTGATTAGCAGGCAGCAGCTAATCACAGACAGTGTAGATCACACATAAAGTACCCCGAGTAAAAACAGTGAAAGTATAGCAGAGCTGCTTGAAACTTGAATTGTGGCTCCTTTGAGTTGTTTGACACTTGAAGAAAAATGACTAAAGTAACCTTGTAACTCCTAAGCCTGAGGAGTGGTCGTGACAACGTTATCATGTGACAGCAGTGTGCAGACACCTTAGGACGTAAGGAGTCTGCACTGTTGTCACATGGTGAATGTTGTAACTTGGGTCTAGCCCTCCTTTACCACCATGTAAAGGCAATTTCCAGCAATTTCCTGTCTTCCTGACCCATGAACACAACTACCAAGTGTTCCAGCAATGCTCAGTGTTTACTTTTGAGTGGCACATCACCAGCTGCTAGCATCTCCTCCTCATATGCTCATACAGTGGATTAATACTTCTGTGCTAAATCCATAGAGCAGTGTTTCCAAACCTTCTGGAGTATTATGGACCATACTTCACATTAGAAAAAACACATTTATTTATTTAGGACAGTGCATGTTAATGAACATAAATGTAAAAAAAAAAAATTACATGAATGTAAACATACCAGATTATAGCCAAGGGCTAATTTCCATCTGTTGTCCTTAACATAAAAAATAGACATAATAATTCATAAAAATTCATCATTCATTCATAATAAAAACTCCATCACCAAACTTACACATACACACCATTCTGTTCCCAAATAAAACATTAAAACTATACAACTCATACATGATCACACACTTGATTTGTCCATAACCAGTTTTTAACCTTTGCCTTAAACAAATTGAGTGTAGAGCATTCTCTAATGGGTTGAGGAAGACTGTTCCACAGATGGCCTCCCTTAACAGAGAGGACGTTCTGCCCAAATGCTGTCCGTCTGTGGGGTATAAACAAGTCTCCTCGGATTGTAGCTCGAGTGGTCCTGTCTGAGCTTTCTTTATGCCTAATGAACTGCTTTAGTGGTGGTGGAGCAAGGGAGTGTAAGACCTTATATATTAAACACACCATGGCACACCACCAAACAAAAATGTCACAAAAGCATATTGATAATTTTTCCCTGCGCACCAGGCATAGTAGAATTGGCTCGGTTTGTCCCCAGTATACCTGTTTTGCTTTCTTTTGACCACTACTCATGCTCGGGTCTTCATCAGGGCGGAGTTTTCTCTATGACCAGGTCAGACTGACTTTTTATTTTCAAAAATCTATCTGTTGCTATTATGCGCTGCGTCGTCTCACAGCATGACTGTTATGTCATTTCTTCTTCATCTTCTTCTGTTTTATCGGCAGTTGGCAACACATCGAATTAGAGCAGGTAGTTGTACTGCCCTCTAGTGGAAGAGAATGTAATTGTTCTGCACGTTACTCACGCCGCTCGCTTAGAGTACTAATCAGATGGAACCAGATGATCTTCCACGGCACACCCGATCATTTCTGGCACAGTGGTTGGGAAACACTGTCATAGAGAACATAAGCAGTACCTCAAACGTGCATTTCATCTGGAGCCCACCAGATGACGATAGTTGCGGTTGCTAAAAGATTACTGGCCCTATACAAGTCTATGAGAAAACAGTTTTCTGATTTGACCTCTGCGATCGCTTTCTTCATGAGTTCATGGACTCGTTCACTCGTTTTGGGTTATACTGAATAAAAAATAAAGCTTTTTTGTAAATCTTGTTCATAGAATGTCTCAAGATGGAAAGCTGGTGGGAATCTTCAAAACGAGCTAAAAAGCAGCAACATTCGTCTTCCATATCTTCTATACTTAAATCTACAGCTTAGATACGTCATAACCCACAAAACTGGTCTTTCTGGCCAGTCTTGTGGAACCTGACAAACCTACACTGCTTATTTTGCTTTCTTTACTTTGTTTTCTTCTCAGACGCTGTCCCCCTGTTAAACAGTGAGGGTTGAGCTGTTTTTACAAATGGACTCCATGAAACGTGGAGAATCAGGTCGAATTATCCGGCGTTGACCTGACTCAGCACACTAGTGGAAAGACTTTCAGACAAGTGTGCTGTATGACCTCACCAGACAATTACCTGCTCTTGTTCCTACAATGATGCAACTGGACACCTCAGGGACTTTTCCCGAGGGAGCTGGCAGATTAAACACCCTTTAATGTCCAGTTAGACCGTGTCCTTCCTTCTCACATTCAGTCCCATTGGGCAATGGTTAGTAAAGTTCAGGTCTGCAGTGTGTGAAAATGGACCGTGACAGTGGCAGTCTCTTGGGGAAACTTGAGCTGTGCATGCACTCGACTATTAAACTTTCAGTTAATAGTCGAGTGCATGCACAGTCGACGGGTTTTATGGGCTCTGAGGAAGTCTTCATTTCTCCTCATTTTCTCTTGACGTTAGTGTAAAGAGACGTGTGGAAATCGCACTCGCTGTGCTGTGATAAACTAAAAGACTTCACCTTTGACCTATAGTCCACTGCCGCTGGTACAGAGTAGGCCTGAGTCTTATAGCAAAGAAGCTATTCAGGCTTTACTGCACTGACACACACACACTACACCGGCGTGCCAACTGGCTAGGGCAACACCTCAGCTCCTTCGCATAGAGTACATATGCATAGTCACATGTAGTTACAAAAATACACATACATATATATCCACGGGCTGAAAAGCTCGTGCTGGCATCCTGAGGCACTCTCTGCAAGGAAAACTGTTTTTTTTTGTAAGCGGCTGCACAAGGAGCATGTTGTTTAGCAATAACTTCACTCTGTCTCACTCTCAGATCTCAGGATGTCTTCAGTTAGGTCAGAGGAGCCAAAATAGGCCATGTTCCTTTGGATATATGGAGGACAAAAGCATGATTGTGTCTTAGGCACTGAGAGTTCCCACAGTGAGACAACGTGAGCGTAGGTGGGGTCCCGGGAGAAGAGTTAAAGCTCAGTAACTGTTGAGTTTGGCCCATGACACAAACTGAGCTTTTGTCACAGTTGTTATGAGTTATTATTTCCTTTCAAAGACATGTGAACAGTGCAGCTTTTCATTCAGTTTTTGGACAATGTCTTTGATTTATTGTCCCTCCAGCTAATGCTCTAAACCTCACGTGTAACTAGATGTGGAGTTAATCAGCTGTGACGCTGGTGGGCACCACTGCGTGCTAAAACTGAACAGCTCAGGTGTTTCTCCAGGAAGCAGCCACAGGAGTGAAGAATAACCTGCACGTGGCAGAATGACTAGTGATCTGTTTGTGTAGCCGTCTTCAACCGTCAAACGAACCACCAATCCTTCACAGTCACATGCTTGTGGTCACTGCATCGCTGCACAGCTCAGCAGTATTGGTGTGCACTTTTGTGTCGTTTTGAACCTCTCACCTCTTTTTTTGGACATTTTTAAAGACCCATTAGAACCTCTGTTTCTTCCTCCCCAGCTCGCTCTGCGTCTCACTACGTGGCGACCTCCGGCTCCTGCAGAAACAGGTGTTTCGAGCTGGTCGAGTTGGAGCCGCCAAACTGTCGCTGCGACAACCTGTGTAAAACCTACAATGGCTGCTGCTCAGACTTTGACCAGCTCTGCCTACGCACAGGTATGCTTATAAAACTTGACTTTGACACCACTAACAATGTGTTGGTCCTAATTTGTGTTGTCTTGTAATAAAAAACTAATATGTGAGGTAATTATCTCTGATACCTGAGAGTTGTTCCTCCAAGTCTTGGCAATGAAGGGCTAAAAAACAATAAAGTGACGCTGTTCAGCTGAGAGATATTCGCCGGGCTGTCTTTCCCTTGAGCTTGCACCTACGCCTGCAGGTCAGGGTGGAGAGGCCAAACCAAACAGTCACTTATTAAGCTGGAGGAAATGCTCAGAGACCTACTTTTAACATCCATCAGGTGGTCGAGAATTTTGTTCCAACATGTAACACGATGTCCTTCTTGTGTTTCGGAGACTCTGGCGTTTCTCTTTGTGTGTAGATAGGTCAGGCTGTGCTCGCTTTGCAGTCTGCAGGACCTACAGAGCGGCTGGATTGACCGGCAGTTTCAGAGTAATGTGGCTGACCTGCACGCGTCTGAACTCCTTTCAGATTTGGCTCAAACCAAATTTTAGGTTTTGATATTTTACCTAAACATATGAACATGAGACCGTAGACATGCATCATCTATGTGACAAAAAGCAGTGACCATCCTGTGTAGCTGCCTGATGGGCAATATTGGGAATATTACTCAAAAAAAGTAATAGATTACATGCTACTTTTTAAATAATGTTTTACCGTGTATCACCTCACTCATTTAATTCCTAAAAGCAGTGTGTTGTACTTCTCATTACATTATATTTGCAGTTGTAACATAATATGACATTAAAGCTTATGTATTACATGTCAACAAAAACTTTTTAACTTGTTGATCAGCACAAAGCTGATGGTTTCCATGGAACCGGGCGAAACAATACATGGATGAAAAAACTGGAGTGAAGATTCGGTACCTGAAGTTCATCCTGGTAAAGACAGCAAACAAAGATAAACGAGCGCTGCTAAGTGCCAACCAGCCGAGCTTCACAGAGGAAGCCTTTATTTGGATAGTGTGTCTTTCCTGTAGCACTTAGAAGGACAGTAAAGTATTGAAATAGTTCTGTGTTTATACAGTCTATAAATGAGTGATTAAAGCACACATACAGGCTTTTATCACATATTTAACTTTCTATAATATAGCTAAAAGGATCACAATGTTCCTATTGTCAGCACTTATGAGATTTATGGGATTTAAACGTGAATTTTAAAACTGTCGGAGGTTAAATTCCTACAAAATTGCTTTGAAAATATTTTGAAAAGGGAGAAATTTGAAGTTAAAGTTCAACAAACAGCAAACTATAATTGCTCTTTATTACGTGCTTGCTAACGAGCATTCACACACACGACTAACATGGGGTTAGTATCTTGTCCAACGATATTTGGCATACTGACTGGAGCAGACTGGGACTGAACCACCACACATCCAGTGTTTCCTCGTAGGGGGCTCTCTGCACCGGGGCTGTGATCGACCGTGGCTGCTGGGGCTCTGTGGGTCCTCTCAGCCTGGCTGGGGGGCTTCTTTGCCTCCCTCCTGCTGTGTGCCCAGCCTGGAGGCTGCGGTCTGTGACCGGCTCCCGGTGCAGACGGCTCCCTGTGATAGTGTTTCCTCACCTGGCTCATGTGTGCATGAGCATGTATCCATGATCATTTATGTTAATGAGAGTGTGGGGAGTGAGTTGGAGGGTGGGGTTCCAGCTGACGGCAGCCAGCTACTAAAGTCTGCACAAAGATGTTCTTCCTGCTCCACCACCTGACCTGCAGCCACCCCACAGTTCCCTGATATGGTCACCTCAAGCAGACAGCTGGTTCACACCCCTGCACCATTTAAACCTTTGGTTTGTGAGAAGCAGCCAGTCAGAATCAGAATCAGAATCAGAATCAGAATGGGGTTTATTGCCAGATGTTGAGGTTTACAACATTAGGAAATTGCTGCGGTGCTTCAGTGCAAACAATAAGAATTAAAGTGCTATGTAGAAAGAAAGATATGTGCATGAGATATACATGAGATATATACATGAGAATAAGAATTATGAGTGCTACGTAGAAAGATATATACATGAGTGCAGGTGGTGATCAGTGCCAAACATGAAATGATGCAGTGACACAGCGTAGGGTCATGTGTTAGTGGCGGGGACAGTCATGTGGTTATTGTTCATGTGTCCAACAGCAGAGGGGAAGAAACTGTTCTTATGGCGAGAGGTTCTGGTGCGAATGGACCGGAGCCTCCTGCCTGAGGGGAGCAGGTCAAACAGACTGTGTCCAGGGTGAGAAGGGTCAGCTGAGATCCGAGCTGCACGCCGCAGTGTCCTGGAGGTGTACAGGTCCTGCAGAGATGGGAGTCTGCAGCCAATCACCTTCTCAGCAGAGCGCACAACACGCTGCAGTCTCTGTTTGTCCCTGATAGTGGCTCCAGCGTACCACACGGTGATGGAGGAGGTGAGGATGGACTCGATGATTGCAGTGTAGAACTGCATCATCGTCCGTGTTGGCAGGTTGAATTTCTTCAGCTGCCTCAGGAAGTACATCCTCTGCTGGGCTTTCTTGATGACGGAGGTGATGGTGGGCTCCCACTTCAGGTCCTGGGTGATGGTGGTACCCAGGAAGCGGAATGAGTCCACAGAGGTGATGGGGGTGTCAGTCAGGATGATGGGGGGGAGTGGGGCTGTGTGCTTCCTGAAGTCCACAATAATCTCCACTGTCTTCTGGGCATTCAGCACCAGGTTGTTGTGGCTGCACCAGGACACCAGACGTTCAACCTCCCTCCTGTAGGCAGACTCATCCCCGTCCGAGATGAGTCCAATAACGGTGGTGTCATCTGCAAACTTGATTAGCTTGACAGACTGGTGGGTGGAGGTGCAGCAGTTGGTGTACAGGGAGAAGAGCAGAGGAGAAAGAACACAGCCCTGAGGGGAGCCGGTGCTGATGGTCCGGGAGTCCGAGACATTCTTTCCCAGCCTCACATGCTGCTTCCTGTCCGTCAGGAAGTCAGTGATCCACCGGCAGATGGGATCAGGCACATTCATCTGGGAAAGCTTGCCTCGGAGATGGTCTGGAAGGATGGTGTTGAAGGCAGAGCTGAAGTCCACAAACAGGATCCTGGCGTAGGTTCCTGGGGAGTCCAGATGCTGCAGGATGAAGTGTAGGGCCATGTTGATGGCGTCGTCTACAGACCTGTTGGCTCTATATGCAAACTGCAGGGGGTCCAGGAGGGGGGCCGTGAGGGTCTTGAGATGGGAGAGAACTAGGCGCTCAAATGACTTCATGACCACAGATGTCAGAGCCACGGGTCTGTAGTCATTTAGTCCAGTGATCCTAGGTTTCTTGGGGACAGGGATTATGGTAGAGGACTTGAAGCAGGCAGGCACATGACATGCCTGCAGTGAGGAGTTGAAAATGCCAGAAAACACTGGGGCCAGCTCGTTTGCACAGTGTCTGAGGGTGGCAGGAGACACACCGTCTGGGCCGGGAGCTTTTCGAGCATTCAGACTCCTAAACTGCTTCCTCACATCTGCTTCATGAATATGAAGAGTTGTGGTCGGAGGAGGTGGTGTGAAATCCTCTTTTGTGTGGGGTGAGGAGGGGGGTGTTGCAGGTGAACAGTTTGAAGGTGGTGATGGCTCTATGGAGGGGGGAGAGGTGGGGGAATGAGTGTCCAAAGTGCCTCTATTGTTGGGGTCGTTGGAGGTGTGAAGGCTGCCTGATGGCTCGTCAAAACGACAGTAGAAGTCGTTAAGGGTGTTGGCTAAGAGCAAGTCGTCAGTGGAGTGGGGGGTTTTAGGCTTGTGCCAGTCAGAGGACACCTGGCTTCAAGGGGCAGCTGCTAAAGCATCTTACAGTGGACGGTGCACCGACACCCAGTGTGTGATAAAAAAGGACCAGTTTGAAATTTGAATCACACGAAACGATCTGTTTAAACCAGATCAAAATACACGACAGCCCCCCTTCAAACCACCCATCAGACACATACATGCTACACATGTCAGGTTCCAGCTGACGGCAGCCAGCTACTAAAGTCTGCACAAAGATGTATCTGATAAAGTACATTTAGCTGATTTTAATCTCTGTGGAATTACACACTTCTTGCAAAGTGAGCCAGATCCTGATTACTTTGGCATCTTACTGTATGTTATTCCTACAGTGAAGGTTTCTCTAACCTGCAGACATTTCTTGAACAGTAATGAGTTTGAATTGTTTTCATGTGGATGCCGCCTGCTATAATCAAGCTTACGAATACCCACTTGATATATTTTTGCGAGGCTGACTGTGCAGCTCAGTTGTCTGAGCTGGAAATGAGTCGTAGACTTAACGACAGGTCTCTCACTGTTTGATTGAGCGGTTTGTTGCCCCCCCTCTGCCTTTGCAGTGCTCCCTCTCTCTGTCAACATTTTCCCTCTGCTGCTGGTGGTCTGATTTTATGTCCACTCCTTCAGCCTGGTGGTCTTTGGCTCACCACCGCCTCGCCACCAGTAACCTCCCATTGCCTGAAAGCAATAATTTACTTGTTTTTCTGGTCACCTGCGTCTTTTTCCTAACTCTGTCAAATCCTTCTTTGGAAGTTTTTCAGCTTGAGGACTGTTCAAACACGGACCCCATCACCATTGTTGCTCACATGCTGCTTCCCACTCAGTCTGCAGCCAAACCGCTGTCACATTAATATCTCAGCTTTCATTTTTCACTGGTTTAACCACTAACCTTCCAGCTAAGCTGTGCACGTAGAAAGCTTTGGCGTTTTAAACCTCAGTGATTCATGTTGAACATAACTGCTATGTTCTTCTTGCACACAGAGGGCGGTTATGAGTGCAGCAGGGATCGGTGCGGGGAGACTCGCAATGAACAGCATGCCTGCCACTGCTCTGATGACTGTCTGGCCAGAGGAGACTGTTGTACCAACTACAAGAAGCTGTGCAAAGGTTTGCAACTTTACCTGACCTCCTGACCTTAAATGTTGAGAGGATTTTGTCCATTATTAATTAGTCCGACCATGCATTGTAATGAGGACGTCTCATTTTATTACAAAAGTGCATGTGTATGTGTTACATGTGTAAAGAAATATGAACATAGTATCAGTGTTGTGGATCTGGAAAGCTTTTCAAAGACTGGAGTTTAAAAAATACTACATTTGAATTTATTGACATCATATGTTTTTATATTGGTGTTGGCCAAAAAAAGCAGGTCATTTATGGTCACAATTACTGGCTTTAAAATCCATACTGGGGCGTTTTAACTGGGGCCAGATGCATCTCTCAGGTCCTGTTTCTTTGCTGGGTTTAATTCTGTTTCTTAAGGACATGATGTTGAGAAACTCTTCATCTGCCTCTGTGTCAGTCGCACACCGTGCTGAGATATGCCACGTTTTCACCTTGTTGGTGCAAAAGTACCTTTTTATGCCTGTCAGACTGTGTTATCATCAAACATTAGCCGACACCATCGTGGTTTTAAAAAAACCAAAAACAAGGTGCAGTCAAACTGTGAAGCTGCTCACTCACTGACTCAACTCCAAAGAAAGCCATGGACTTCCTGTAGACTTCTGTATGACCATATGTGCAACCACAGGAGCGCCCCCTGCTGCTGATTAAAATAATTTAGTTTAAAGCACTTCTGTAACTTTTAAAACCACGTTAACTGTGTGAAGCAGGCAGGATGGACCCAAATGCAGACGCGCAGACACACAGCTTTATTGTAGACATACAAAACTAAACTTAATACACAGAGAAACACACGGCCATGAGGGAGATGGCGACGCGGGACCGAGGGAGACCCAGGCTGTGTCCCAATTCAGGGTCTGCAGCCTTAAAGGCCGCATTTTAAGGCCGATTACGTCACAGCGGCGCGCCGAAGGCTGTCCCAATTCAAAGGCTGCTCGAAATGCAGCCCTCAAATGCATCCTTCATTTCCCTGAATTTTAAGGACATGGCGGTGTAGACTTCGTGGCCCAACATATCCAGAATGCGGTGGGTGAGAATAATTTTGCCGAAAAAAAAACGGCGGATGAGGGGCGCCCGAAGAGTAAACTTTAAATAAGTACTGACTATTATGTCACTTATTTGAAGCACCTTGAGGCGACTTTTGTTGTGATTTGGCGCTATATAAATAAAATTGAATTGAATATTTATGTGCAAATGTTTAATAACGAAGAACATTAAAACATTCCTGTTGGCCACATGTTGGCAAAGCTTTTTTTTTTTTTTAATGTAAATGTTTATTATTATTATTTTAGCCACACTTTAAGTTTATAAAAGGAGCCCCCACCCCCGCAAAAGAAAAAGAAAGTTACAATTTTTACACATAAACAAACCGATCTAAGCATACATTTCAAACATTTCTATATTCTCAAAGTAAACGATAAATATATGTAATATTTAGTATTATTGGATGGTTACTTGGTCATTTAAACCACTATAGTTATATACAGAGCCCCGCGGGGGACCGTGTTGGCAAAGTTATGTGACATTAGTGACGTTTGTACTAACTTGGTTTTAAAGCCTTTACTTTAAAATATACGCCGTTCAATAGCTGAGCTTAATCTCACAGAGAATGATCAAAGCTCATGTAGAAACAAACAAATGAACAAAAGATTTTCTCCTTCATTTCTGTCAAACAAAGCTGTATGACACGTTTCCAGCTGTTAGTATCATGGTTGCTAGGCAACCTGGGCAGCGCGACGGAGGCTAGACCGTCCCATTTCACAAGCCTCGCACTTCCGGTTAGCGGTCTTTGAGTACGCGGGCCTTGAGGACCTTTAAGGCTGCAGACCCTGAATTGGGACGCAGCCACAGAAGGGCAAACACGGGAACAAACCACAGGGGGGACACAGCTGAACATGATCTAACTAACGAGACAGGGGCAAACAAAACTGAACCAGACAGGAAACTATCAAAGTAAAACAGGAAGTACTAAGACTCCGAATAATTCACACAACATGACGCAGGAGGAAAAGAACGCTCAGGGAAACGAGATGGACCAGAGAGATAAGGGGAGGAGACAACGAGGGGGGGACGCAGAAATAGTTCAGGGAGACGAGACAGCGAGAGAGCGAGGAACCGACAGGGCGAGAGAGGGTGAGAGGCATGATGGGCTGGATAAACACACACACAGAACCACAACACACACACACACACACACACACACACACACACACACACACACACACACACACACACCACACAGACACACAACACACACACACACAACGACACACAGCACACCACAACACACACAAACACACACACACACACACACACACACACACACACGACAAACACACACACAGCACAGACACACTCGAAAAACTCAAAACAGACTAAACTAATGAAGCGGAAACATTAACCTTAATACAAAATGACACCAAAGCACAAGAAAATCAAAATGACTCAGAATGACAAACTGTGCTATGATACTGATGCTACTGTAAAGGTAAGTTACTCCAGCACTTCATAAATGCTTGCTCTGCCATCTTTTCCCCAGCTGTCCATGACCACAACAGAATATAATCAAGGATACCAGCACATCAGCGAGTTCCTTTATCCTTGAGTTCACTGTTACCGAACAGTTATACCTGGTAGTTACTGGGTAACTAATTTATTTGTGTTTGTTTCTGTGGTTCAGCCTGTTTAAATTTTAATGAAGCTAAAGTGCATGAAATTTTAAAAAGTGTAAATAATACTGCATTTCAAATTCTAGGTCCAGTGTTATCAGCTAAATTTATTTTGGATCAAAAGGACTTTGTTAGAGAAAGACTTGAGATTGGTGCTTTGTACATTAATCTCTTTTTTCCTTTCAGGGGTCAGCTGATAAATTCATCTATTTAAGATTGTCAATGTCTTTAGATTTACTGGAGGAGAAAAAAATAGTATACAGTGGAAATACTGAAGTAGAAGTACGTTCAAGAATCATGCAGTTTGTGAGAAAATATGACAACCAACCACTGGTTCCCACTTTTTCATACAAGCATAACAAAAGCTCATGTTAATCTCTCATCACGTTCCCTCAGGAGACACCTCGTGGCTGCAGGATGATTGTGAGGAGATCAAGGCTCCTGAATGTCCTGCCGGGTATGTTGAAATCTTAGCAGTAAAGCAACAGGAGGGTAGCGGGTTGAACTTGGTTGAGCAAGTCTGATTTCATGCATTTAAAAAACTTCTTCCATGCACATGCAGGTTTGTGCGTCCGCCGCTCATCATCCTGTCCATGGATGGATTTAGAGCTTCGTATGTGAAGAGAGGGAACACTGTCATCCCTCACATTGAGAAGCTCAGTAAGTTCTGTAAAACATGAGCTTTCGGTTCTGAAACGAGGAATGAAGAGTTCCCTGTTAGGAAGTGAACGTGACACTGATGAAGCCACGAGCTCTGGCAGGCTGTGCGTCTGCCGTAGTCTAAGAATTTGTTTTGCTGTGTCCTTTTGAGGAACATGTGGAACCCATGCGCCGTACATGAGACCTGTTTACCCCACGAAAACCTTCCCCAATCTCTACTCGCTGGCTACAGTAAGTCATGGCACACTTGTGTTTCTGTGCTACTGGGTTGTTGTAATAAAATATGTCTGTCCCACAGGGTTACATGTTCATTTCAGCAAAGTAAGAAGTGCCACAAGACTGTAGCAACAGAAATCATTTATGAAGTCAACAAATTATTTGTATTTATCTGTGATTAATAATGTAATTGTGTCAAATGGATAAAGCTCTTTGGTGATGTTCTCATGGATCCGGCTGCAGTCTATGAAGATTTCGTTTTTTTAGTGCTTTTAAACAGAGCAAAGACTTTTTATCACAACGTTTCCAAACGTCCTGCTTTTATTTTGCATGCTTACATTATTTTACTTGTGCAGTCCAGTCAGTAACATTCGCTTTGGTCTTCGGGAGCTACTTTGTTACCAGGAGCAACGTATGTTTCAAGTCCCTGTTGTGTTGGAAAACAATATAAACCCAGACCCAGTTTTGTCGCTGGCTGCTTGACATTTTCTTTAAAGTCTTCACAAATCCTTCTTTCATCTTGGCTCCTTCCACCTTGACCATATTACCAGTTCCAGACGCACTGAAGCGATGCTCCCACCACCGTGTTTCACTGTGGAGACGGTGTTCTTTGGCTTGCACGTCTCTCCCTTCTTTCTTCAAACTTGAGCAGCATCTCTGTGACCTCAGTCCTCTAGTTTTGTCGCATCTCACCAAAGAATGCCCTTCCAGCAGGCATAGTCTTTTTCCAGGTTGTTCTTGGCATACTTCAGTCTGGCTTGGGTTTTCCTTGGTCTGCAGCCTCACAGTCAGTTCCTGTTCAGGATCGTCTTCTTTGAGACTGCACTTCCTCACATGGCTAACTCATTCATTAGTGTCTTGTTGCTCCGGGGTCTTTAAACACATCTCTCAGCCTTTGTTTCACCTCCCACCTCTGTCAGGCTTCTTCTGTACTGTCTTTCTCGATGACAGTCCTCACTCCAGCTCGTGACACTTGGAAACTCTGTGCTAACTTTGTACATCCATCTCCTGGTTTGTGAACATCAACAATTCTTTTCTTAAGTCTAAACTAATTTCTTGTTTTTGTTATCCTTGCTCTGTTAAAATGCATTTTCAGACAGATTTTACATTTCAAAGGGGGCAATAATTGTGTCCTGATCATACAGATGTAAGCAACTGCATTTCACTATAGGCGTTAAATTTACAGGCATCTTGTCGATGAGCTGTTTTTGGAGAGGTCTTTGGGTGCAAAGGTATTGTTTTTTTGTGCTCTGTGTGATGCCTTTGGAACAACATCACTACTGAAATTTGAGACCAAGCCTGAGGTTTAGATAAGGCATTATTTAGCGTGAGACAGCAAACATTACTGACCGAAACATAATGGTTTGATTCTGTCCAAGGGGCTTTACCCGGAGTCTCATGGCATCGTTGGAAACTCCATGTATGACCCAGGGTTTGATGCAATCTTCACCCTGAGAGGCCGAGAGAAGCTCAATCACCGCTGGTGGGGAGGACAGCCAGTAAGTACTGCCAGGAAACAGCAAGAGCTTTTCTTTTAGAGTCGACTACAGAAGTGGAAGGACAAATCAGTCAGAGCAGAGGCTGGAGTGACTGCAATCAGCTGTAGATTTACTCAAATTTGAGCTAAAGAGTTGATAAGGAGCATTCCAGCAGTGTTAGCATATTAAAAAGTGATTGATGTGCGTCAGCAATCTGCTGTACAGGCGTTAGTGTCAGGTGGACTAATAGACGCCGGTGCCTTCACACACTGGGATCACCTTCATGCTGCAGTTTATGAGCTTGGCTTCCTCGCACTCATGTTACTGTTTGTGTTACAGCAGCATCCTAATAATCTGTGTTGGCCTGATAAATACTGAGACCTTTGTTTAGATCTGGATCACAGCGCAAGGACAAGGAGTGAAGGCTGCTACCTTCTTCTGGCCTGTGTAAGTCTGCACACACACACGCACGCACACTCACACACACACACACACACACAGACACACACACAGACACACACACAGACACACACACACACACACACGACACACACAAACGGCGCACACACACACGACACACACACACAGCACACACACACACACGCCACGATCACACACCCACACACTCACACACAACACACACGCGACACACACGCACAGCACACCGCACACACACACCGCACACACACGCACACACACACACACACACAACACACGCACACACAACACACACACATGACACACACACACACACACACACGCACACACACACACGACTCACACACACACACACACACACACACTGTAACATCACCATGAAGTTCTTGGTTGATCAAAGCCGTGGCTGGAATGTCACGACTGCCTTTGGAAAATATTCTGTTTGTTGATCCATGTGAAAAGTTACCAGCTGACTTCGGTTCAGCAGTTTTAATTATTTTTCATACTTGATCTGTGTTTGATATGAACGCTGACTGAGGAACCAATGAGCTCTTACCATGTCGAGGCCCTCGGTGCCCGTCCGTCTGTCCTCCTACAGGACCGGTGAGACTTTAGTCTAGCTCAGCTTCAGTGATCACCTTGGTTGTCTTCAGTCAAACTGTGACCAAGGTCAACTTCATATTTTGTTTCAGTCTTACAAGAACTGCTAGTCCTCCTACAGCATTGGTCAAATTCGAGTGAAACACGTGCACACAGTGATCACCTCGTGGTTCTTCACTCACTCTGTGCTCAAGGTCAAGGGGATGGATATCTGGAGAAGCACTACATTGCTAATTTTCTAATATCGAAGCTGCTAAACTGCAGCAAACAGTAAATCTCTGTATCACTGACATGTAACTGTGTGTGTGATGGTAAGTCTGTTGTAAAAACTGTCCGTGCAGCTCTGGTAGGTCAGAGATCATCCACTCAAAGGCTGATTTTCCAGTTCCATCATTTAAACTATGAAATGTTGTATTGTTGCCTTTAGATGGGACAAACCTCATCAGCCTTCTTGTATGCAAACGAATGGAGATTCTAATGTGTGCTTCATTTTGATAAACCAAATGAAATTATATGTTATCTTTTTCTGTTTGCTTTTACTTCATGGTCCACACTTATTAATTACACTTCTTAAAAGTAACTGCGTGGTTACACTCTTCTTTTGTTTGTAATAATCTGATCTTATTTTTCTTGTGGTTTGCCACCATGTGGCAGTTTTAGTAAATGTTTGGTGAGATGTAACAAAGGGAGATTAATAGTTTCTGGAAAAGGGGAAATATTTGCCCACTTGTCTGTTGGAAACACTTAAACGTGTCCTGGAGTTCTTCTCCAGCCTCCCAATGACATTTCCTATGGGCATTGTATGCCTGTCTATAGCCGCCTACTGTCCCACCCCCTGTACAGCGTAATGATCAAAGGATTTGCTGGGCGATGCGTGCCGATACCTCCAGCTTCACAACAAAATGTTTTAACCTGCAGTCTTTCTAATGGCCAGTAGGAGGCGACGCCTCGGGTGTAAAAAGGAGTTCGCCTGAACAGGACTCTGTGGCTCCCTCAGTTCTCCTGATCTGTGGCCTTAGTAAACTCTTTCTTGAGTTGATGGTCTGTCAGATCAAGTCTTGATGAGTATAATTATATTTACTCAGTAAATCTCAGTTTTATTACAGTCAAAAATGATTCCTAGCCTTGGCTTCTCAGTCAGACCCAGCAGCCTTTTAGACAACAGTAATGTAGATCATCTGTTTTTAAACCACACTGAAGTTTAACACTGTATGTCCAGCCTGTGATGCAGCTGCAGTGTTCACCAACCAAACAGGAACATCTGTATATAGCTTAAGATGCCATAATTGTGAGTGGCTGTGTTTCAGCTCGTAGAGCAGGTCGTCTAAAGTCTGAATGTCGGTGGATTGATCCCCGTCCAAGGGGAAGCATCATTTGCTGATGCTTCCTATGTGTAGGCTCAGGTAAATGAGCGCTCTCAGTGCTCAAATTGAATAGAAAGGTGTTGTAGAAGTACCAGCCCGTTTACTGTGTTTAGAGAAAACTGCTCACTTCTGCAACAATAGGACATTTTTGTAAAAAGGTTTGTGTTAAGCTGGGCTTCAGTTCAGGAACAACTAAGAACATTAAGAATGATTCTCTACAGTTCGAGTCATTTAGTGTGTTGTTTGCATCTGTGGGTACCAAATAATACTGAGCTTGTGTCGCGCTGTCCTTACCTGCTCAGTGAAAGTCTGCAGAGTTTAAGTAAACATGCTTAGTGTTAATGTGTGTAAGTGACCTCAGAGCTGTCCAGGACTGCAGAATGTGGCTGTTCATGCTCCCTCGGGCTGTTGCATTACACCTACAACTCAGAGGAGCCCACATTTATCAGCAAAGCAGGCTTTTACAGAACAGGGGGTACATCTCTGCAGAGAGATGGCAGTGGGCTGTTTTTATAGCAATTAGTGCAAATGGGCCTGTTTACACTGCGCAGGATTCCTCTGTGAAGCCGGGTCGCAGACGTGCCACTCTGTAGAGCCGTGGGGGCCAAAGACTGGTTTACATTGCTTTTCTTGCACTTGGCAGTGACAGAGCTGTGTGAGAAAGAGGCAGGAGAGTGCATATGAGATTTCTGTGTGCTTGAGAAAGCCTTCTTTATACAACCTATTTCATAGTTTGATGATTTAGCAGCAACGCTATGGGCCCTGGGATAGTAACAGGGACCAGGGATTGTCTGGCTGCCTGTTTCAAAGTCTGTGTTGGGTTAAGCTTTTTGGGAGGTCCTCAAACTAACCACGGGCACAGAAAACGAGTGGGAGTGCACCAAAAACCCAGTGGGAGGTGTGAGGGACAGAACTGAAAATGTTAGCATCGACAAAAATACAGGAAGGCAGCAGACAGGGAGAGAAATGCCTGCTGTAAAGTGTTACAACTGTGCGACCACAGGTTGCTGTTCCCCCACACTCACACCCACTCCCACCGTGTGTCACACATCCAGGCTTTGTCTCAGACCTGATAGCTGACAGCTGTGGACTGTATGACAGCCAGCAGCTTGGTCGGTGCATTAGATGCTGAGACACACTTTGCCCTTCTCTAAAATACAGGCTGTAATGTTAGTCACCTCAAAGCACTTTATACTGCAATGTAAAGACCCCACAGTATTAAAGAGAGAACCCAGACAATTAGACAGCCCCTTATGAGCAGCACTTGGTGACAGCAGGAAGGTAAAACTCCCTTTTGACAGGAAGAAACCTCTGGCAGGCTCAGGCAGAGGCAGCCATCTGCCATGACCGGTTTGGAGGGGAAAGAGTAGCATATAGAGATCGAGCACAAAACACAAGCTACAGGGAAGAGAAGGCGAAAGTCAATAATGCGAAGCAGAGCAAGACTGTACATGCGTGAGGAGTGGCATATTAACATGTCGGTATGTTGCTCTTGACACCATAAATTGTGCTGTGTAGCTGTGTTCAAATACTCTACTGATCCATATATGGCATAACCCTGCCTGCTGGTATGAAGCTGGCTCTCCTGAGGGTAAGAATTCAGTGCGCTTCAGAGGAGAAGTTCACTGAGTTTGGAAATCAACAATTAAGCACAGCTCATGTTAGAGCTCTTACTATAAGGACAGATCTCACCATTAGTTGTTGGGTGGAGGCTCTGTGAACCCACTGCGAGTACACGAGCACAGCGAGACTTTGAGAAGGACCGAACTAAGAAACAAAGAAAAGGACAGCCTGATACGTTCACACAGCGCCCCATCTGGTTTCAGCTCAGCGAGACTGAGATTTTCACAGGACAATGAGGCAAAGCGTACAGATCTTTGTAAGCAGAGTGATGGAGTTCAGCATCTTCTAGCATGTGTGACAGACCTGAACCATAAATGGCTTGGAGCTCGACTCCAGCGAACAGGTGCTCAGCAGGTGAGGGAGCTGCTCCAGGTGATGAGCCAGCTGGAGACTGTGCAGACACCGTAGATCGTAGTCTTCAGTTTGTGTGTGTGTGTGTGTGTGTGTGTGTGTGTGTGTGTGTGTGTGTGTCTGTGTGTGTGTGTTCCAGTGCCATCCCTTTGGAGAGGAGGATACTGACTATGCTGCAGTGGCTTCACCTCCCTGAAGGAGAAAGGTGA